CCCTTGATTCCTCTTCTTCCCGCCTTATCCTTTCTCGTTCTTCCCGCCTTATCCTTTCTTCTTCCCGCCTTATCCTTGCCTCTTCACGTATTGCCCTTTCTTCTTCTCGCATTACCCTTGCCTCTTCGCGTATTGCCCTTTCTTGCTCTTCTTCCAGCCTTGCCCTTGATTCCTCTTCTTCCCGCCTTATCCTTTCTCGTTCTTCCCGCCTTCGTCTTTCTTCCTCCTCCTGTCTTACTCTTGTTTGCTCTGCCTGCCCTGCCCTTTCGTTTGCCTCCGCAGCGGCAAGGGCCGCGTCAAGTTTTGCCCATGAAGCATTGGAGACGATCTCCTTTTGTGCAAACCCCTTCCAACGTTGGAGCGTACCCACTCTATGGTCCATTAGCTTGTATGCATCTTCAATCGCCTTGTAAGAGGGCAATGACAGTATTAGGCGCAGTACATTCTCATCTTCGATAAATGTATTGGGGCTTACAATAAACGCTTCGATAGAAAGATTTTCGTTATCCTCCAGAACTCCTCTGCCGCCCAATGTATTACGGAGAAAATCATTCAGCGTGATCTGACTGAGTTGTCCTTGTCCCCAAAGCAGAACTTCCTCCACAGCGCTGTGAAGGGTCCAGTGTGGCTGCGGCAAGTCGCTGTGAGGCGCTGACCGCGCCCGCTGCTGCCCCTGCGGCACATTACTGGTGGGACGCCCCCTTCCACCACCGCGCCCTCTCCCTCTTCGCCCTGGCATGGTCTCCTTTTACTACTACCACTTTCCTTTACTTCGTTGGTTGTCGTTGGCTCGCGTCGCAGCTGGACACCCACCACCAGCCAAAAGGAGAATGAGGGGGCAAAAAGACGTAATAAAAAGGCACAGGCGCCGCACACACTTGCCCCAGCCGCGACAAACGAGGGGAAAGTGGCGGCACAGTTCCCGCGGGAAGGGCAGCGGCTTCCGCCACTTTGCGGCCACCGCGCCGCCCAGTGAGCCCCACCCAGACACAAGCTTCTTTTTCTTCCATTTTCGGGCCGCACGCCATTCACGCATTGCCTTCTGCCTTCTGCCTCTC